ATTTTACTGGGACATTTTCATTATGGATCGGATGATTTGTGCGCGCCGATAAGCGCACCTTTGCTAAAAAACCCAACAAAAAAAACAGGGGGAAAGCTTTCCCCGGTTATGAGCTTCACCCAGCTATTGATTCGAGATGGAGACGGTGTGTTTTTTTTTATTAATTAATTAAGTGGCTTAGAGAGCAAGGGCTGTGGTTAGGGAAGAGCTGGGGAAAATGGCTTCCTCAGCTGGAAATAAAATGGGGGAAATGGGGAAAAGGGGAAAAGGGGAAAAGGACCACGAGACTCCAAGATAGCTGGACAAATGCTGCTACAACTCCCAGGCAACTCCTTCTGATCAAGTGGGCCCCAAGGACTCGTAAACATGGTCAACACACTAAACGTGTTCTGGCCAACACACACACACATATAGTATCAAATACACACACAACTACTAGCAGACAGTACGTGAGGTGTCGCCCATTTTTGAGTGGAGCCAAAAAACTTTTTCACGCAGCATAATTTTTTCTCGCCCCGTTTTTTTTCCCCTCTAGCATGTGCGAAATGTAACACTTGTGCGGGGGCAAGCGGAAAACGCTGGGAAAGCGGGAAATGCTGTCTGCCGACCAAGGAACCGCAGGACAAAACGCTCTCGAAGGACACCGCCTGATAAAGCTGACAGTGAATAATTCAGGCGGCTCGCAAATGAATGCGGCCAAGGCGTATGTGTTACATTTCAACTGCAGCTACACTGGTAAAAAAAATGTAATGGTAAAACTAAATATCTCACCATTAAATTCCAAATTGTATACTAATATAATATTTACATTAAATATTAAATCATAATACTCTCATATATACAATGATTATTAAATTAAATGATTTATTATCAAAATATATTGATTTCAAATAGTTCCCAAGTGATTTCAATGCATTTTATTGTATTTAAATATGCTTTATATTTAAATTAGATTTTAAGATATAATAATCATTTCCGGAAATTGTACATACAAAATTGTAAAATATCCAAAAATCGCAATGGAAGAAAATTTAAGTGGAAAATACTTAAATTGAGTGCAAAATATTTGGATTTGTAACGAATTTTTTACCAGTGTACACTTTCGCCCAGCTGCTTATAAATGCATTCACAGATAGCACATTTTGGGTACTCCAAAATAAGTGGCAAATTCAATGTGCCACAATATTCTTTGCTTTATTTACCTTTGAATGCCTTAAAGTCACTTGAAAAGGAAAGTGTACATGTATAAATTAAATGAAAAATAATAAATTAAGGAAGTGATGCTATTTATGTATTTAAAGCTGCTTGAGTTTTCGAAAACCATTTATTTGTTTATAAAAAAGATCTTATAAGGTAATGAAAATTAAATGACTAATTTGTATAGGTCTCTAGAATTTCTAGATTATTGTTGCTAGGTCTGTAAACCTAACTTTTTTTTACCTTTTACTTTTTATCTCAACAACTGAAAATAAAATAATTAAATGCCTCTTCGTGTAATTTTAAAATTCATTTTGTGAACTATCGAAATGGGAAATGCAATGTACTTTATAAGTGTGTAATCTAATCTATTTATTTAATTGCTGATCCCTTAATCACAGATCTCCCGCATTCATTAACTTTAAACAGACGAAAACAAGGGCGAGATAAACACTTTATAGAGACGTGCAAATTGCGATTGACGTGGATGGCCATTCGGAATGATGGTCGCATGGGTATGGCTTGTTGGCAATTTGCATATGCTCAGACACGCACTCACATTCCAATTGGAGAACGGAGAATGGAGAAAGGACTGCCGTGGGAATCCCCGTTGGACGATGGCCTTAGTCCTGCATTTGCACGTGTCTTGGACATAAAATTCGATGCCATCCCCCCTTTCCCCCCATTCCACCATTCCCATTCGATACGTTTTTCCACACCATTTTTCCTAGCTTTTTCCTTACCATTTTTCCCACCCATTTTCAGCTGATTCAGCAAACGAAATTTCAATGGAGGCGAGCGTCATTTGCAGCAATTGCAGAATGTATCTTTCGGATGCGAATGTATCTTTTGTGCCCGTTTATGCTCGCCAGTAATTGTTATGAACTTCATTCCGGATCGTTGGCATGTGTGTGCGTGCCTGGATTTTTTTGGTAAAATGAAGCGTTTGCAGATAGCTATGCCTTTCTGCAAATTGCTTTGATAATTGTTAACATCTCATGCGCGGCAACTTAAAAGGGGGATTAAGGCAGACTAGGGGGGGCGGTGGTGGCAATCTGGGCGTGGCACTTTACACGGCAACTTGTTATTTTGTGGTTGACTAATTGCAAGTGTGTGCGAAAGGAGTTCCAGTCCGAAATCATGTGAATGAATGAAGGGGGGCAAAAGGGGTGCCAAAATGGGGTGCCAAATGGTGGGCGGGGGAAAGGACAAAAGAGGGGGGGAGAGAGGGTCTTATATGGTCACAGCGGAACATGGCAACATGAGCAGCCAGGATCAGAGGCAGACCCAGATTCATACCCCAAAACCAGGAGCCACTTGCTCGGTGCCGACACGAGATTTATGCTGCCAGTGATATGCCCAAACAGGATGTCCACTGAAAGAAAAACATCTATAGACTTGCCCCAAACATCATATATATTTCATGGTTCCTTAATATTGAAAATATTCTTTTTTTGTCAGTGTTTCTATAACAATTATGCCCAAGCAATTGTGGCTTCTTCTTGCTAAAGAAGAAGAAGTTTTCTCACAGTGTTCAGCAGTTTTCAGGGGCCTTTCCAAAATCCAATGCGCTTTTCAGCAGCCGAGAACTAAATCAACGGCATTTCAGTGCTGGCTCGGATTCGTAGGCTGAAACGGTGGCGGTGGCATGGGGCGTGGCACTTCCTGGCTTGGTCGGTGAGCATACAGTGCGTATGCGTGATGCTCGGGAGCTCGGAAGGACGTGGGGGGGTGGGGGGCTCTAAAATATACTTTGCCAGCTCCCGGGTTATGGTTTTTGCGGTTGCATTTTGCAATTTTGCAAATGATAAAGTGATCCAGGCGAAGGCAACATGGCAGCACCACCCAACCTTTCGCTTTGGTGGGTGTGTGTGTGTGGGTGTGGGTGTTAGCGGCAATGGTTCAAGTGGTCACGGCATGACCACCGCCCAAAGATGAATGAGCCATTGGCCACAATGCAATGGAAACTGTTGCTACACGACTGCAGTTGAAGCCGTAGCTGTATTTTGGGGCGGGATGGGGGAAATGGTGGGTGGTGGTTGGAGCAGCTCAGTTTCCGTTAGAGAAGAGTGGGTGGTGCAGCGGGTGCCGAGGGGTTGTGCAATAGAGGGCACAAACACCGCACATAAAACAATCAGGCGGCGACCACAGGCTGACACGAAACGCCGGAAGGAGCAGCAAAATGAAGTCACAGCACCAGGAGCTGAGAGTCCGAATCGGTAAAGGAGGAGCAGCAGGATAATGGGTGGGATAAAGGAGAAGGAGCAGCAGCATAATGGGAAGGACCAAGAGAAGGACAAATACTTTGTTTATGCTATGAATTTCATGAATTCTTGAACACATGAAATCAAAATAGACCATGTTTGTGCATTAGCAGTGATACCAGACGAGTAAAATAAAGTTATAAATTAATTTACATGTCTGGCAACTCTGCTAGTATTATTATTTTAGCTAATTATTAGAACTTTTGTACTGGAAAAATATTTAACAATAAAACTGAGTAAAGTTTGAAGTAATAAATGACCTTCGAAGGGCGAGAAGAATTCAATTTCAATTGTTTACTTTAACGTCCGGCGTTGCCAGCTTATTTATAGCAAGTTAAGTTGGTTGCGCCTCATCATTTCACGCATTTGGTCTGAATTCATAGCCAACTTTCGTGTGTCAGCCAATACATATGTACACTTTTTTGTGCCCATTTCATGAAATGATTGCTAGAAATGGGCATCGTATAGACACAGTTAAAGAGAATGGACCATCAGCCAGCAGAATTCTTCCTCCAATGGACAGCGACAAAGCGGCGGACACAATTCATGCATGAGTGCATTCATTGCCGGCCTTCTAATCAGTTTATTTGCCATTTGGGGGAAAGTAATTGCAAGTTGTTGCACTCAATTACAGCTAATGTGCGATGACCGGACCGAACCAGCGAGTGCTCACTGTAATGCGATTGACTGAAACAAACATAATTAATTGGGCCGATAACAATTGGCATATTACAATGACTTTACTCACGATTGATGCGTTAAATAAGCCACATAAACATAATTTATTAGAAGATGTTGTAATTGTTTTAAAATGGCAGACTGTATTTAAAACGATTTAAGCTCATTGTGGTCCGATAACTTACCCTGATTAACTGTTGCATTAATTGGCAGATAAAAGTCGCTTAATATGTATATGCAGGGGATTTATTAAAGTTAAACAGTGGCTTATTTGAAGTATCCTATTTTTTTTATTGCCTAACGCCTTTTTTCATTCCATAATAATATAGATGCAGTTCAGATGTGTGCAAACATATAACTATAATTTTATATATTTGCATTTACATTATATTAAATTAGTTTAAAAGTAATTTACCCGATAATTTTTAAATGAAGTAAACCAAATTTAAATCAAAATTAGCTAGATTTAATGTTGAAATTTTTCAATAAATAAAGTATTTGATTTAATGTGGAAAATATAAGATCATAAATCCTACTTCTTTATCAAATACATTATATTTGAGTTTTAAACAGTTCCGAAATTAGTCAAATGAAAAATTAAAAAAAAAATTTATATTTTAAATAACTTTAGATTCAAATTCATATGAATAAGCGAAATGTATTTAAATTGAGTGTAAAATACTTGGATTTACAAGGGTTTTTTGTTGATCAGTGTGCACAGTTATATATTATATTTTTATAATATATAATTGTAATATTATTTATAAAATTTTGAAATCAATGTCAGATATTTATTTTTACTGTTCAACTTTTCTTATCAGTGTAGGCAATTATCCCGCTGTACCCAATTCAAACACAATATTTTGGTGTCATGTTACATACATTTGCATTTCGCGATTACACAAAGGTTTGAGTTCGAATTACAGAGAAAAAAACAGTGATATTATTATTATTGTTATTATTGTCTGCAGAGGCAGTGGCTCTACAACTTGCTCTTGATTTGGCGCAGAATGGGGAACTTGTCGTGGCCGGTGCATCCGCCGCGGAAGTCATCGAAGCTCAGGTCGACGACGGCGATGCCGCCGAGTCCCTCGCGCTTCACATACTCGGCCTTGATGGCCGCCGTGTCGGGGTCCTCGTAGCCCACCCACACCCCGTTCTCGCCGCTGTCGTCGGCGGAGCGGTAGGCATAGCTGCCGAACCGCTTGGTCGGATCGCCCACCTTGCGCAGCGGACCGTCGGCGCCCTTCAGGTGCTGATTGGCCGGATTGGGCAGCTTGGCGCACACCTCCGGCCAGCTGAGGAGTCCGGGAATCTGGGTCTGCGGTCCGGCCGGAGCCACGCCATCAGCCTCCGCCACCGGCGGCAGTCCAGTCAGGCCCGAGTCCTTGGTCAACTTCCAGGCACGCCCATACGTGGCAATGCCCACATTGATCTTGGCGGCCGGCGCACGGTTCTGGGTCCAGTACTTCACCTGGTAGTTGACATTCAGCTCGGGGTTCCGCTCGTTCAGCTCGTAAATGGGGGCCGGGAAGTCGGCCACCTCGTTGTTGCGCTCCGGCGTCTGGAAATCGTAGGTGTGGAGGTTCACATAGTCCAGGTTGTTGATAATAGCCGGCACATCAAAGAAAACTAGCAAAGATATTTCAAAAATTCATCAGTTATTAAAGAATATATATATATAATCCAGCAAGAAGAACTTAAGTTACTTTCAGTTTTGTAAGCAAGTCTAATTTAAAAACAAAGGAACAAAACACGTCTTATACAGAAATATGTGCTTTCAAAATCGATGAAAAGTTGTGTAAGGCTTATACACCACTTCCAAACATCCATAGCAATTTATATAAAATAGTTTTTAAATTAACAAATAAGACACTGACTTAAAAAGAAGGAAAAGGGTAATCTTAGGAACAAGACAAGAATTAAATGGAGCTTTAACAATTATTTTCACCTTGAATAAAATATTTTCGGTACTGATTTAGCATTGAGGGGTGTTTTGTTTAACTTAAAGTGTGTTATACTTTCATTGGATAAACCATTTAAATATGTTAATGATAACATTATCATGATTTTAGTTTATTTTAAATAAGTTAATATTTTGAAAAACAACGTTATATTCAAGCATTATAATTCTTAATTTTACTATGGGGTTTTTCTCTATAAAGTGTACTCACGCGAGGAGTTGACATTGGGCTGGACACTGAGTCCCAGGAGGTAGCCGTCGGGACGGAAGGCGTTCTTCAGCTCGCGGACCAGCGCGGTGAAGGCCTCCTTGTGCTCCTCGGCCTTCTCGTCGACCACGTGATCGCCGCTGAAGATCTTCTTGAAGCCCTTCCAGAACTTGCCGATGCTGCCGTGCACCTTCTTGGCCTTGTTCTTGGGGAACTGCCAGCCGAGGTCGAGGCCGTCGAAGCCGTAGGTCTTCACCAGCGAGTGCGCACTGTTGATGAACGGAATGCGGGCATTGCTGCTCTCCAACAGCGTCAGGTACTTGTTGTTCTCGGGGTCCACGGTGTCCTTGTCGCCGCCCACACTCAACAGCACCTTCAGAGCCGGGTACTTGCGCTTGAGTCCGGTCACCTGGCGGAACAGACTGCTGCCCAGGTCCAAGTCCAACTTCTCGTTGTTGCTGACCAACTTGTTGCTGGTGGGGTTAATGCCGGCATATCCGTAGATCAGGTGCGTGCAGTACTGCAGCGCGGGCTCCAGATCGCTCAGGATCAGCTTGGAAAGACCTAAGTGGCGAAATATTTAAAATATATATTTAAGTTAGTTCAGATTGTTTGTTAATGACAACTACATCAAATCAAATTTCAACAAATTTAAGAAAAAAAACCTGCTTCCTCGTTCATCTGCACTTTGTGTTGGAATAAAATATTAAATCTTTAATCTCTGAAATACTTTTTATTCCGGCGACAATAAAAAAATATATATATATATAAAAAAATAAAAAAATATATATATATATATATATATTTTTTGGTCAATAGTTTTTAATTGTTTTTTTTTAATATTATGCCTATGATTTATATTTTGACCCATAAGCTTCATTGAAATATAAAAAAACATTTCGAAAGTGGCTTCTAAACTATTTTTGATTGTAATTTTCATAAGTTGTAAAACAACTATTTTTGTGACCGCAACTGTACATGTCAAACATAAGACTATAGGGCAAGAAATCACTAGGGCTTGTGAAATATCTGAAGAAAGGCGTCTAAGAGTGTGCTGTGAAAAAAAGAGTTATTGAGAACAAATTTACTCAAAACATGTTGTTGCATACTTTCAGGCACATTTTTAAGTGTTTTCAAAACCCCATTACTCTTACAACATTCTTGACAACAAACAATCAGGAAACCACAAACCTTGAATGGTCTGCTCCGAAAAAAAACTCGTATAAATATATTTTAAGTGCCCGTCAAAAACAAAAAAAAACATTAATAAACTTGGGTGCGCTAAATTAAACTGGGCTTGCATCATCAATTAGCGCCTTGAAGGTGGCACCTCTGGACATGAGTCATTGTCATCCATCGAACACAACACCCGATGCCAATTTCAATTAGTTTTCCTCTCTCTCTCTATATGCAATTTACTTAAATTGGTTACAAAATAACAAACTTCCCCCGTGATCTTGTGACCCACTGCCAATTATCAGCGCAAAAAAAGAAATACAATTTGATGCTTTTAGCATGTGCCTATGAAAAGGGAAAATCATCTAATTGAATTGCCCGAGAACTCTCTATCTTTCAGAGTGCTCCATATAACCGATAACCCCAAATCTTATCAGCTATGTACTAAATAGGGAATATGTACAAAATATATATAAATATATATAAACTTACCCTCGCGAACGAAGCTGCTGCCATCGTAGTAGCAGAGCAGATGATGAGATCCGGCGGCGGAAATTTGGCCAATGGCCAAAGATCCCACCAAAAGGGCAAGCAATGCGTAGAGCTTCATGGCTGTAAATAAGAAAATATTATAGTTTAAATTTAAAGAAACTTCTGGAAGAATCTAGCCTTTACTGTTTTTTTTTTTTTGGCCGCTACTTGTTAAAAACTTTACATTAAAAGCTTAATAATTTAAGAAATCTCTTAAAATTAGTTAGATATTTTAAGTATCAACTATAGATTTTACAAATTATAACAAACACTCTATTTAGAAGTGTTTTATAAATGTTTGTAGAATAAGAAACAAACATTTTATGCTTAATAATTGAGAAAGTCTTAGAAAGTGTAGATTAATATTTTTAATATTAACTAAACACTTCACAAATCATAACAAACACTCTAATTAACATATTTGAAAGCAATCATCAAAATATAAATGTGAAAATTGTAAGAAAAGGAAACTTAAAAAAAACGGTACATTAAAGATAAAGGTTAACTGTGATTCTGAAAACAACAAAGTGAGAAATAAACACAAGCGAAGAAGCCCAAAGTTTAGATTGCATCGGTAATAATTAAAAATGTTTAGCAAATAAGTTATATTTCCAGTTCCACCTAACAATTCGTAACAATATTATCACAGGCACACAAAAAAGCACAGATCACAGAAAAAAATACAAAAATATACAAAATATATACAAAAAAGTGGCTCCACTGACTTGTTGTGCTCGCATTAAACGTAAAACTGAAACTGTCCGGCGATCGAGGTGATCCCAACTTTAAGTGAACTCGTTGAGAATGCGAAACTGAGCAAGACGAGGTGATGAGAAGATAAAATTGGGGGGAGAGAGAGACGCCTATAAAGATGGGGGAGAGACGGAGAGCGAGGGCAAAGCGAACGCAGCGAGAATAAAACTCGGCTTGAAAACACCTACACACAGCCGCGGTCAAAATAATGTCAGTTCTTTGGCTCATGGAAATGGCAATCAAAAATAATAACATTAAATATTAAGTGGGGCATAAAAAAATACACTTTTATCATAGCTAAACCATTATTAAATATTATACAAAAATATATAAATAGATTGTTTTTATATTATTAATGTAATAGAAAATAGATCAGATATTAAAAACAGTTTTATTTCAATGCAAAGTCAAGATAAACGAGGAATTATGACTTGAAGGAATTATAAACAATTTTCTTTATTCTTGAAAAACTAAAACAATATCGAAGGTTGTTTAACCTCACTTTGTTTATTGCTAGTTATGATAAACTAAAAGTAAAGTTTCCCTCTGCCCAGTACTATTATTTTGACCGCAGCTGTAGGAGGGAACATAGATAAAGAACACTGGCAAACAAAAACAAATAAATTAGAAATGTGTGTGGAAAAATAAAAACAAGCCAAGCAAAGCTTCGAAACGAGGGTCGACTCAGAAAAAGATATTGTGATAAATCATTATCATAATGATCTCGACGATGGTTGAATAATAAAACAATTTCCAGCACTTTACCAAAATGTAAATAACCTTCACTTTATAAGAACATATTTATATGTTATTACAATGTTGGTCGATCTACAGTAAATCACCTATAGAAGATCACTTAAGATCTCAAGATTTTCAGCTAAGTCATGACTTAAGTCATTTGTAAATATATTTACTTAGAAAGCAGTTAAATTAATCAATTATGATTTTAGTATATTAGGTCGAAGAATCCTAAATTAAAGAAACTATTTTCAGTTTTGTTTTCATTGAATTTCATAAATAATAAAATAATTACAGTAATTAACAATTTTAATTTTTTACCATCAAATCTCAATTTTGTTCTTATTTATTCTGTCTGTCAAAATTAAACTTAATCAAAAGAAAATTTAGGTAAGTTGTCGACATTTTCTCAATATTAATAATTAATATTTTAAGCACTTCAATATTTTATACAATTTTTTTTATAGCATTGTTAATAAACTTTTTTACAAAAGTAATTGAATAAGTATAAGTTGTAATGTGTTTTATTCACCTCAGATTTTCCTTTAATTATATACAATTATTGAAAGCTTTGTTTTAATGGCTGATATATTTAATTACACGTCAAACAGCATTGAAGACGCCTTATCAAATTTCTAAGCTTAATCTTTTGTGTGTTTTGTTTATCTTGCAGTACAATATGCTAAAGTTTCGTTATTATTCCGCAATTAAATCCAGCTTAGACGCAACATTTTTGCCAGCGCCACAAAGCTTAGTTGAACTGCTCTCGTTTTTGATTTTCACTATTAAGTGATTAAGAGTGTGTCATAGTGCTGTAATGTGTTTTTAGTTTTGTATTTTGTATATTGTGTTTTATTTTTTGTAATTTGTTTTTTCCTCTGGCAGAGCCTGTTTTTTGAGACCCCCCCCTATTGTGATGTCATCATTACCGGGAACTGCTCGAGCAATTATACAATCAGGCCAACGCGTCGGGCATTATTAAACCTACTATATATATACCTACATATATTCCCATTAAAGCGGCAGCGGCTTTATTTCTTTATTTTTTGTACTCTTCGCTGGACGATAAGTTTCCGAAAAAAGAGCGAAATAAAATATTATATCGCGCATATAAATCGCAAATTGACAAAGTAAACTCGCCGTCTGGCCTTTGCTCTATTAATTTGTGTAAAAATTGATTTTAATAAATAAACACTCTCCGTCGTCGTCGTTAATTTCGTTTTCGTTTTTCGAACTCAAACTCAAACCCAAACCCAAACTCAAATGTTTACCCATAGCATTGGCAATCGGTCGACTTTATCAATTTATGTCAGCGGCCAGGAAGGTCAAAAACACACAGATAGAGACTCCGTCGGCTGTCTCATATTTAGTTTTAATTTGCTGCCCCATCTCCATGGCCTTTTTTTATTCGAGGGATTTGGCCGGGGATTTTCACTGGCTTTGGGCTCGGCTTTTTGGGTTGGGCCAGCTAATGGGCTGAGTGGCTGACTGGCTGACTGACTGACTGAATGTCAACGGGCTTATAACATCGGTTACCCAATGCCAATGCCGCCAAAATATTTACACCCATCAAGGGCACTTCGTTTCCCCTGGGAATATATATTTCGTTTCACACATGCAATTCACTCAATTTACATTGCTGGCCCGAAAATATGCTGCATTTTTGCAGTGGAATTTATCAGAAAAGGCTGTAACTTAATGATTATTTAGCATTACTACTTACTATTGATCACTGCTAAAAAATACGTAGTAAGTACAAATGTTTTGTACACCATATTCATATTTTTCGCTAGAAACATAATATTTGTTATACAATAATTATTAAAAGTATTTATTTTTTAAAAAGTATTTTTGTGCCAACTATCTACATCTGACAATGATCATTGAGTAAAATGAGAAATTAATCATTCATTATTTGTGACCGCAAACAATACTCAGATATATGTTGAAGTTATTTTAAATATTTTCGCTTTACTAACTTTTACTAATTTTAAATTTAAAATATTAAAAATATGTGATACTATTCAGATGATTATTTATAAATTTAATCTGTAAATTTAATTAAAATTTAAACTATATTTAATTTAAATAAATGTATTTAAGACAAATAGGAACTATTTGAAATTAAATACTTTCCACATTGATTTAAATATTCTAATATAAAATTGCATTTAATATTATAATTTGATGTTAAACTTAAATATTAATTTACATTTTGAATTCTAAAGCCAGCTACCTATCAATGAACTCATGACTCATACACTTTCTTTTTAATTACTAAAAATGGCATTCAAAAGCCAACACAGTTGTTTTGCGATTAATTGTGAAAGGTTTTGCAAAAAGCAAGACAATGTATAATAAAAATCATCAATTGACCATTACCATGGCACTGAATAGTTATCCCTGTGAAAACATGACCATGTGGAAACCAATTTATTTGGCACGCAAATTCACAAACAAAGGTAGACATATCGCGGTATTTGGTGCGTTTATTTGGAATTGTAATTAAAACCACCTTAATCAAGTGTTCTGAGGGGGCGTGGCAGGTCAAACAAACAATAATTAAGTAACAAAAATACTGCCCGCTGCAAATACACCAACATACATATATAAAAACGAGAGGCGACAATGGTCAATGATTTAACAATAAAGTGCAATAAAAAGCACGGGAGTTCTCGCACCGAGAATTCAATGAATTTTATTTATTTTTATTATTAAACGTGTAATCAGTGAGAAGTAAACAATTAAAAATGTTGATTTCACGCGCTCGCAATTCGAATTTTATTTTTATTTCACGCCCTTCCCACACTCTCTTTTTTTTTTTTTTTTTTTTGCACTTTTGCGGAAAATGTCGGTGTTTGTGGGTGTCTGTAATTTAAACCAATTAAACACTCACCAAATAAACAAGCGGCAACAAAGTCCGCCAGTTTCGCCCCACCGCAATTTTCCAACCCGACTTTTCCCGCGTTAAGTATGATTTACAAAATGGCTGCGTGCCACAGAAATAAAGCCAACTGGAATGGCGAAAAAATGCACCATAAATAAATTTAATACACAAATAAAAGGAGCGAAAACGATAATCAATGGTCGACCGGCGATAAATGAAAAATGCAACAAAAATGCCGCTGAAAATGAACGGGAAAAGCCACAAAGGAAACTCGAGCAACAATTGAGAAAAGAAACACGAAACGCTATGAAACCGAAACGAAGTAATCCCATGAATCAAAGAGTTTACAAATATAAAACCCACAAAAATAAACCCCGTGACTTGAATGAACTGCAGTTAAAAAAAATGGTAGAAAAAATCATGTAAACTTAGTTATTATTTGAACAACATCAACTTAGTTTTATCTTTCATAGTTAAACATAAAATATTAATATTAAATTCTATTAATTAATATTTATCAATTTGTCGAATATGTTTGTTTATTATTTCTATGAGGCTTAGATCTTTTAATCAATAAAATAGTTAATTTTTTTAAGTGAGAATTTATTTCTTTCAGTTTAATAGGAATTGTAATTACTTTTTACTTTAATTGACTAAATTTATTATATACATCTTTTGTCTTAATAATTGCTTCTTTAGTAATTTTGTTTAGAAAAGAATATATAAGATTAGATATTATTATTATTGTAAAAAAAAGTATTTGTTTAAAATAATATTGGTATTAATTAGACCTCATTTAGTTGAATTTTATTAGGATGTGAAGGGTTAGGATAAGTATCTCATTGTTTAGTTATTTATGTTTTGAATTTAAGTTTATAAATATATGTGTTCCATTGTTGTTTATGACTTTCGCACAATCCCAAAATTTAATAGTAAATCCATAGCTAACATCCCTCCTCTTTCCCTGATTTAAGTAATAAAAATTCTACAATTTTAATTCGCATTCCTTTGTGGGTTTGTCATAAATCGATTAATTAATGTTCTGTCCGTGGTAGTTAATTTTTCGCCTTTTTTACTGTCTGTTTTTTGTTGTACTTTTTTTTTATTTGCTCTAATTAAATGTGCAGCATATTTAAAATGTCCGGCTCTGTCATTGAAATTAATCGTTTCTTTCCCCTCTTTTGTTGCATTATTATTTATTCTTTCGCAGCAATTTTTCAGCGTTTTTCTTCTATTTTTGTTTTTATTTGTATTTTCAGAAGTCGACAGAAATATCGACTTGGAATTGCAGCCATTGTTTTTGCCTTGGCTCTGTCATAAATCCATCGACAAAATAAAAATTGCATAAGGAATAAGAATACGAAAAAATGAACGGGGAAAGAAAACACACAGAAAATTGCAAATAAAATTACGTGAA